AATATATAAAAAATAAGCAAAACAAAAACCCAATACCTCCGCCCTCCTAAAAAGTATTTTAACAAAATATTTTAAAAATCAGTAAACAAACAAAAAGAAAACGCATAAAACGTAGACAGAATAAACAATGATCTAGAAATATCTGAAGTCCACATAAATCTCTCACCTTAATCAAAGAGGTACGAAAGTTCACTTTAGGCCACACAATTCCTTGATGAGCAGAAAGTGTTAGATCACAGAAGTATAATCACAGAGATGTTAGCAGTACATAGAATTACTTATTACTCACATACTACACATTAGCACAGTAAAAAAATAGACCACAAACTATATAATAATAATGACAGCAATAAATCTTTATCCCTTGGAAGTAGTTTTCGAAATAAAATCCATAACACCCAGTTCCAGTTTCATCTTTAAATGAATCCTAAAGATCTTTTTCTCCGAGTGCCAAATATGAAACAAAAATGCAGGAATAATGGAATAATGGTTCATCATCCATTTCTCCATTGAAAAACCCAACTAAAAAGTTGCATTTAATATTCAAAGTGGTTCACAACAAGTCCTTTATCTTTGTGGAAACAGAGAGCACAAAAATGATGACCAAATTCTCTTAATCGTTAAAAAAAAACCCAACTGATTGAAGACAACATTGTATAGACGAGTAAGCTAGCAAATATATAGTGATGAAGTTCTAAATATCAAATCAGCTAAAAGTTAGCTCTCCATTATAATTTGGGAAACAACTAGATCAGTAACCAATGCCATTGCAAGGATTTTTTATCATTATTATTGAAAAACAAACATCTCAATGTACATCATGAGACCAGGCAAACAAAAGGGCAATATGTACATATGTTTCAACAAAACATAATTCTAATAACAAATTTCAAAGCTACTGTACATTTATCTTAAATAAATAAGCAATGAAAAAACAATATCTACAGCATCAATGATGAAGTTATACGCATTTTGTCAATCATACAAATGAAATAAAATACAGGAAATCTTAAATGTCTACAACACTTTGATAAACAAAGTTAGAGAGACATATTAATCACATCAGAAAATCACAATGTATATCTTAAGTACCTCTGCAACTGGGTTTCGCCTTCCGCTAAACTAAGAAAAAAAAGGTCAATTCTTAAAGAACCTAGGACATGAAAATTTGCTTTCATCTCACAATCTGTGACAAAGTAAATGTACAAGTAACAAAAACAATGAAAGTCCTGTACATTTAATATATATACAATAATACAAAAACAGCAAAAATCAAGTCATTACCTTGTTTCGAGGAAACATTTGTGCTCATCAATACAACTAACTTCATGCGTGACTGAGTGATTTGAGGAGTGAGCAAGATGGCATTGTGAAAGCAAATGAGACAGTTTATGGTGCAAATAGTGTATAACTTTTTTTTTTGAATTTTTTTTTCCAATACATGTGAGACAATGGCAATCAAGGGTGTACAATACAAAAAGATGCCTTTATATATATGGAAGTAAAGCATTCTGAAAACACAAAAATGGAATCAGTGTACTGCACGATTGAAGAATAAAAACAGAACAGAGTTCAAAGACCCTTGAAAAAAGAAGGCAGTTGAGAGATAAAAAGAAAAACTTCAGAAACTATGATCACTTATATACAAGTCCAGCTCCGTTGATGGCAGGTGAGAGATTTTGTACATTGAGGTGGACGTGACCCTGAGATCTTTACAAAAGTTCAAAAGGTCAAAATCTGCATCTTTATTTGCCAGCCAGGTGCCACACGAGTTGGTGCAAGTTGCCCAGTTGGTCTCCGGCGGCAATGACCAAGCCTTCTCGGGATGAGCTGACCACTCTCATGCAGGTCACTGGAGAGGGACACTGGAACTGACCAATCTGGAAGAGCACAACAGAAAGATCATGATAATTCTTGCCAACCTCTGGACAATATAGGTTTATCATCTCTTACTTATCTTATCTTATTCTATCCTGCTGGATTTCATAATGCTCTGAACCACAAAGATATTTAGTTTTACTAAGAGTTTTATGGCACTTGTAGCAAAAACAGGTCATATAAGCATATAAGTGCCAAAGGTTAGAGGTGTTACAAGAGAGTAACATATTTATAAAGAAAAGGAGGCAGGAAAAGGACGATAAATGTTTGATAAGAAAGAATAAGCAAACCACACTAGAGCACATGCCAACCATCCACATACAGACATTTGGTCTTCAACTAACTGCATGAACCAGTAACAATAAAAGCGTGTCTGAATGTACTGTCAGCTTAGTATGTTGCTGTTGTTGACTTGTAGTATAGAGCAAGCCTGCACGATAACTGGTGCACTTTGCCAAAATCAGACTAGGCTAAAATTAACGCTGGAGAGATGTAGAAGGCAATGACCACTGCATTTTGTTAACTACAAGCAGCCTCCTACCAACAGACATAAAGAAAGAAAGGAAAAAAAAGGAGCTGAGTTAGTCGTGGGGGTTTGTACTGCAGAAGCAAAAATAAATAGTACCTGGCAGATGTCCCCTTCATTCACAATGCGCCACACTTTGATGGAGCAATCGGCAGAGGCTGTGATTGCTATGTCGTTAAATACCTCAACAGAAGTAACGGCTGACTTGTGAATCTGGGGAGGAAAAAATGCATGCAAATCATGAAGACATTTTTTGTAGTGGAGTAATGATGAAATACTGCAAAAGACTTCATAGAGTCTAGTTGATGATTAAGGCATGACAGCACACTAACGACCATATTTATGTGTGGCTTTGAGGAACCTCGCATGAAGGTAATTTTTTTTATTAAAATTTGATTTATTTTTAAAATTTCAAAAGATTCATCCTGGTACAACTTTTGACATTTGAAACAATCTGTATAACCTGTGACTGTGTAGTTTCTAAAACTAAAATATTCAGAGTCCCACACCAAAAATTTTTCATTATGGTCTGAGCATCTATTTTATAGATTACTAAATTACCGAAAGAAGCTAAAAAGAAATGTTTCCATTCACTCTCAAAACACACAGTAAAAAAAATAAAAATAAACCGATAGTTTTGTAACTCATCTGCAAAGATGGACAGGAAACTCAAATCAACCCCCCCACAACACACATTCAAGAGCCTAAAAATCTAGACAATTTTCAAGAGGCTTTTGTAACTGTAAAATATCTCCACCTGTCCTTGTAATTGAAATAGTCATATTACAGTTGTAAATGTTTTAAACCCCCCATTGACGTTTCCTTTTTCGTTTTCGTTTTCGCAAGATTTTACATCACTTGCAACACAATAAGTCATACAAGTGCCAAAGATAATTAGAGGTGTTACAAGAGAGTAACAAACACAAAAAAAGAAGGAGGGGAGATAAAGATGATAGACGTTTGATAGGAAAGAAGAAGCATACCACACCAGAGCATCTGCCAACCACCCACATCCCCATCGACAAAATTTAAATAATTTAGGAGGCTTGCACCCTGCATGTCAAGGCTATCCAGGCTGATAATGACACAGTATGGAAAGAAACAGACAGAGACACTCGATAGCAAAAGTCCTCCTCACATTAGATATCAAATTGACGTTTTCTGCCAGCAACAGACAAGAGCTATGCCATAAACCACAGATGCCAGTCCCTCTGTCCCTGCTTCGCTCCAAACAAAAACAAGGAAAAGAAAACAAGCCAAAACCCCCCCCTCAAAACATCCCTTAGCCTCATACAATGGCTGTTCGATGGGTGCTCCGGTGGGGTTGCTCCTTCTTTCCTATCAAACATCAACCACCCTGATCTCTCCTCTTTCTTTTCTTTGTATGTTGCCTTCTAGTGACACCTCTAATCTTCATCAATTGTATGACCTAATTGTATTGTAAGTGCTGTAAAACTCATACTGAAATAAAACTCATACCTTGACAGTCGACTTGTTGAAAACATCGCCTGTGACCATCATGACCTGACCGCGGGAGTCGCCACCAAAGGTCATGCCATTCACCTTTCCACAGCAGTTGACAAAATTTCGTGGAATCTTGGCTTCTTCCATCCCTCTATCCCAATCGTCTGACGGCACTGCCAACACCTCTGTGCTCACAACATCCTGTGTGAATGAACAAACACAGAAATCAATTTGAAGGTTTTGTCATTGACCATGCAAGAGGGCTCATCAACCATTATGTCTGCGTGGTATTTTACACAGCACTATTAGCATCATTAAGTGATATATATGTCTATGTGATTCTCTACACTTAAAGGTCTGTCGAAAGGAATTATTCAGGACAGACAAAATTGTGATTTTCATATTAGAATTTAAACTCATGTTATCAAAATACATTTCTTTTATGACAATGCTTAATGATCTTTGTGACATGATGGAGAATCCCACTTTAGAGGCAAACTGGACTCAAAATGAGGTTAGAAAAATAAATTCAGGACATATGTGTATAGAAAATCACACCTATTTTATATAATGAGAGTGATACCGCTTGAGCATTTCGAGAACATATCTGGCAGCATCTTTTACACTAACAGTTAACAGGTCAGTAAAGTGCCAAAAACCATAACTACAGCAGCTCACAGGTCCAGAAACCTTGCCTTCTAGGCTGACAAAAACTTACCATCTGATTAGCAGACAGCCTGAGAGTAATAACAGAGCCTTGTGTTGTGCCAGCCACAATCTCCCTCTGATTATCTGGGTTTGCAGAAAGGCAGGTTGGCCAGTGTTTCACATCATCATTCATTTCCTCTTCAACACTGAAAATATAAAATGACAACTTTAAGAGTTTTTTTGTTTCTTTGTTTGAGTAAAGAGATGCACATCGGCACAATAACCGTCATCTACTGCAGAGAAAAAAGTAAGACAGATACAACAGAAGGACAGAAGGAAGTTGGACCTACCATTCGCACCCTCCAACCACCTGCTTCAACTTTAAGAATGGTTCTACTTAGGTATTCAAAACTAAAAAAGAAAAATCAACTCTAAATGCAAGATATTCAGTAGCCCAGCTCTTTTCAAGCTAGACTGCAGTGGGAAAGACACCAGTCTGAATCATCAGATGGCATGCTCAAACTATTGTTGCTTGAGTAATTTCCATAGTTCTCAGTCTTCTTGGCAATCCTAATCTGATATGGACATTCAAAAGGAGGTCCTGCCCTGTACCATATTAGAAGAATCCCACATGGACACAACAATTTTGTAGGCTAAAAAGGAGGAAAGTCATGCAACTTGCAGGCCTACTATCAAGAGTGATCCGGCCGTTTTGCATGCTGATTTTTCATACGTGATGATGTGTCATTGAACAGATGACTTTAGCACTCAAGGGTCACATGGACAAGTGAACAGAATGGACAGCTGCATTGACCACTACAGACCCAGTCCTAAAACTACAAAAAACTGTAATTAACCACCCCCCCTTTCCTCCACGTTTTTCTTCATGCATTTTCCTTTAATTTAAAATACAATAATATAAACAATTATCACACAAAACTGACTATTCACCCAAAGCCAAATGCACTGGAATAACTGTAAAGGTTAAACCACGTGAAAGAACTATTTACTGACGGAGCTGAGCAATTCATTCACTCACCGGAAGATTGATTTGAGTACACCAGCATGGGAGGCATAAATATCTCCCCTCCATGTGGAGAAAAACAGCAAGTTGGTCTGAGGACTGCACAGGATACTTGCCACAGGATAGTCTACTTTGACTTGAGTCACCTGCCTGAGGGTGGATAAAGATCATCGATTTTAGGGAAGTGAAGTGGGCCACAAGGTAGTGCTGGGGCAGAAGACATGGTGTCATATCAAAAGCATTATGCTAGACTTTTAACTATGTACATCTGGTGAACTTGTAGTGAAAAAAAAAAGAGGCCACTAATCAGGGGTGCCTACTTTTTCTCATCGATTGCTAAGATGAAATCGGTTACCACAAGAGATGGTGTCATATCAAAAGTATTATGCTAGACTATGAACACACTTTTCACTACACTCCTAACATCTTGTGAACATGAAGTAAAAAGGGCACTTATCAGGGATGCCTACTTTTTCTCAAAGAATGCAAAGATCAAATCGGTCACCACAATAAAATTACCTGACAAAGAACCCGTCCTTGCGGTCTGTGATGGACCATGTGGTAATGGTATAATCGTCTCCGCCAGTGTAGAAAAGCGTTGTAGAGGCACTTTGGAATGAGCCACAGTTCACAGCCCTTTCATGCGCCTGATGATATGGAAAAATCAAACAGTATGTACATTAAAATTTTTTGGGTGTTTTTTATTAAAAATCTTAAGGCACTTGAAACACAATAACAAGATCATATAAGCACCAAAGATTAACCATGTTACTAGGTTACAAGAGAGTAACAAAGAAAAAAGAAGGAATAGACATAAGGACGATAGATGTTTGATAGGAAAGTAGCAAACCACACCACAGCACCTGCCAACCACCCACATATGTAATTTAATAACACGTCATGAAACACCCCAAAAACTGGTGCTCTGAAACAACAAAGAGACAAATGAAGCTTTTTTTTCCCCCATAAAAGAAGACATGTAATTGTTTTGTGATGTAGTATTCTTATTTCAGTAAATGTTTTAAGGAACTTGCAACATAACAAGGTCAGAAAAGTGCTGAGGATTAGAGATGTTACAAGCAAGTATTACATACAAAAAAGAAGGAGAGATAAAGATGATAGACAGTTGATATGATGGAAGGAGTAAACTGCACCAAAGCACCACCAACCACCCATAGTCTCTCGCTAATAGCACATACCTTGGGGGACAAAAAAAGCACGCTCTTATGTGAACGTGGTGTTAATTGAATGTCAAAAGGGGACGTAATCTAGAGTAAGTACAGAAGAAATTGCCTAAGACGGCCCCATATGGGTTCTGTCTTTAACTCTTTATCTCAGAGGGGGATAAACCCACTACGCCAGGGCCCATTTTTGCTCAATTTAAAAATGACAAAAACGTCATTAAATGGGTCATTAAGTTGAAACAAGCAAACCTCCTTTAATAGTTCTTCACCTAATGAATGAATTTCCGGCAAAAGAGACCGTAATTTATGTCGAAGTCATCGAAAAGGAATGTGCTCAAGCCTCATCGGCACAGTGGTTACGACCGCAAGCCGCCGGAAGTAAAGAGTTCAGAGTTTTTTACATGCAAATTTTAGCTCTTACACTTTGTGTGTATTATGAATGGTGGGCCTTGCTGGTGTAATGTAATAGCTTTGCCCAGTTCCCTTTTACTTCTTTGTGTTACTTAAGCCACAGAAATTTTTTCTTAAAAAAAAAAGTAGGTGTTTTTCTGCCCCCATCGACACAATTTAGATCATTTAGGAGGCAACCCAGGCTAAGAGGGATACTGCATCCTGGCAGAAAGACTGATATACTCCATAAAAATGTTCACCCCACTCAGGAATTAAACTCTAATCTCCTGTGTGCAACTGCGAAGCACCATGGACGCTGGTTGTCAGGCAAAACAGCTTATTAAAACACTTGAGCACAAAGCTTAAAGAGGTAGCACACAGTCCATTTACCTGGAAGCTGAGTTTCATCCCGCATGTTTTCCCATCTTTCTTCCAAATCTTGACAACTCCATCCCTGCAAAAAATACACATAACATAAGAAAATGAACATACCAAAATAATCAATACAATTGATAGACTTAAAAACATCCCTCTCAACCGCTCAGTTTGAGGCTCTGTCATACGTCACTTTACTTGGATTATTTGTTTTAGTGAGCATTTTATGGAACTTGCAACAAAATTACATCATATAAGTGTTGAAGATTAGAGGTTTTTACAAGAGAGTAACAAAAATAAAAAGGAACGAGGAGAGATAAGGATGATAGGGTGTTTGATTGGAAAGAAGGAGCAGGCCACATCAGAGCAACCGCCAACCACCCGCAAGTAAACATTATAAAATTTAACGAAACCAACTATTTTTGAGAAGGAAGGAAGGAGAATTTACCCAATAACAAAGGAAAACAGGACAGATGTTATGAAAAATAGGATTGTCACAACTAATAAAAATATTTAAAAAATTATTACGCATTCATCCAACTGACATTACAACCGCATTTTGAAATTCAGAACTTTTTGTATTTATCAACAAACAATCCTGTACTCAAAATCTTGAGAATTCCCAGAAATACACAACATGCAAAAAAATTCGACGAAGAATGTAAAATTATTGTACCTGCTGCCAGAAATGATAAGTTCACCATTGACTGATGAGGCTACAAAGGTGACAGGGCCATCATGTTTTGAAAGGTCAAGGCTGTCCTCAAGCCGTGGGCGCCACACGCGGACTGACTTATCCAGAGAGCAGCTCGTCACTTGACCATTGCGATCTCCAGCCACCGCCAGCACACGATCAGAATGACCGGTCAAACAGGCCAAACTGTAAGCCTTTAGATTTAAAAAGAGAAAAAACATTTAAAAGGTCAACAACACTGAAATTTCTTAAAACAGCCTCACATTTCTACTATATTGATAACCATTCACACTATTTCAAAGCAGATCTGTAACTCTTGAGAGACTTGAAAAGTTAAACAATACAATAATTAAAAACTTTTTATGAGTCTTCTTCTAAAGAAATCCAAGTTCAAGCCCACTGTGGCAGAACAAAACAGAGATTAGTTAATAAAAGCATAACGGGCTTTCAGCTACATTATAAACCCACTTGCGAGAAAGTCAATGCACACCATAACTTTTTTCTGAAAGAATCTCATGTCTTCTCGTCATCATCATCTAAAACAACATCACTTAAAAAAAACAACCCAAAAAAATAAAGCCATGACTCATTTGCTTGCAACTCATAATCATATTTGTGGGTTCCAGACAGACGACAAGTGAACCTTAACCAAGTAGCCTACATAAAATGAGTTCCTCATCGCTTTATTCAAACCTTAAAGATAAGGCACCTATAAACATCTGCTGGAACTAACACTTCACTTACCTGTAGTGGCTTCCAGATCCAAACAGCTCCATCGTCCCCAGCGGACACAACAATCACTTCTTGCACGTTGACATCCTCTTTGCTGTGTGGACGGTTCGGTTTTTGTCCCTCCTTCTCCCCATCTTTGTCCTCGACCATGTCTGCCCAACTCTGAGGTGGCTCTTCTTCCTCCCCTCCGCTCTGGTTGCCTGACATGAGCAATAAACGCATGTTAGATACAAATTTTCAGTACAAACATAGTACAGCTTCCTCATCTATTACAGCACAGCCCTCCTCCTAATCTGCTCTTTTTTGTTAACCGCACTATTTATGCCTGACAGCAACACAAATTGTTGGGGGAAGATAAAAATCTGTACTACAAACTATACAGCTTTATTGTAAAGAGAAAAGTACAGCCAACCCCCCCCCCCCCCCCCCCCACCTCCTTTCTACCAAACAAAAGAAAACCTCCAAAAACGATGCATCTCAGTCATACATTTTTCCTCGTAAGTGTTCTATAGGCCTCAATTGAACCACAAAAGTGGGTAGCACAAAGGTTAATAATACAAATACTATAAAGCTTTCACAGTTCTTTCCCAGTAAGACCCAAAAAGTATAAAATTAAGTACATCACCTTCCACTTAACCCCATCTTCTTTTAAGACTGTTAAACAGCCTAGCACCATGACAAACAAAAAAGTGAGGAAAATAAAAAGGTTTAAAATGTTTACGCAATAATGAAAGAGAGCTGGACTTCATTTTTGTGGTCAAATGTAACTCAAGAGGAATTTTCGCCTATACAAAAAACTGTGGCAGGTTTGGAATTTTGTAATAATTATGAAAAGAAAATAGATGGTTTCAGCTAATGAGATAGGATCACTTTATAAGCAATAGAATCTGGCTTCAGACAATATTTCTTTCAATCCTTGCACCTCTTCACCAGTTGAACAGACAGATCGCCTGATAAAAGACAGACATGCACAAAGGAACAGACACAGATGGAAAGTGATGTACACCCACCATAGTTTGTTTAATAAGAGTTTTACGGCACTGGCTACACAATTAAGTCATAAAAATGCCTAAGATTAGAGGTGTTTCAAGAGAGTAACAAACAAAAATAGAAGGAAGCAAGATAAGGATGACGGCTGTTTGACAGGAAAGAAGGAGCAAAGCACACCAGAGCATTCGCAAACCAACCACTGACTGACCCAGATGGAAAGTTAGGTACTAGTTTAGTTTTAGTAAGAGTTTTACGGCACTTGCACCACAATAAGGTCATATAAGTGCGAATAATAGATTAATAGATTATAACAAGAGAGTAACATACACAAAAACCAAAAAGAAGGAGGAGAGGTAAGGATGATAGATGTTTGATAGGAAAGAAGGAGCAAACCACACCAGAGCACCCGCCAACCACCCACAAAGTGAGGTACACCCACCTTTGGCAGAGTACTTGACGAACATGTCACAAGCATTGACTCTGAGGTCGTGCCCCCTCAGTGTGGTAATCTCCACTCCCTTGTGCGACCAGACTTTGACAGTCCCGTCTGTGCTGCCCGATATGATGCACCCAAACTGGAAGAGGAAACATAACAATTCATTGTCTGATGTGTTCAGTTTAGTTTGAGTAAGAGTTTTACCGCACATGCAAAACAAATAGTTCACATAAGTGCCAAAGATTAGAGACGTTACTTGAGAGTAACATACAAAGAAAAGGAAGACAGATAATGACAATAAATGTTGACAGAAAAAATGGAGCAAATTCAACACAACTAAAACAGAAGATAAGAGTAGAGTACTTTCAAATATAGACTTAAACAGTCTTCTAATTGATGCTTGCTGATGAGCTACAGACACATAATAATAATAATGGATAAATAATAGATTGCATTTATATAGCGCTTGAATCTATCCCATACAAGTATAAGCTCTGAGCGCTTCACATCGATGACATGATTACTGAGTAGAAAACTTCACACAAACAAGAAAAAACAATTCATATAAAGAGAAAAACCAGTTCAACCATACAAGAAAAAACTTTCTCTGTCTCAGCCATACATTGATTATATACACACAAAGACATCAGTGAAGTGTAAACCAGGGGTCTTAAACTCAAATAACCCGGGGCCGCTGGGGGTAGGTGTCTGGATGAGCATAGGCTGCATCAAGTATCCCACTAAAAAATGTGTAATGTATTTTTATAAAAGACAGCCAATCTAATCTTCTCAACCTTTATCAATCGCAATTCAGAACACGAATGATTCTAAGGCACCCCATGAGTGATAAGAAATATAAAAATCCAGGGCAATACTTTGGCAAAAAGGTGCATGTGAGGAAAAACAAATGGGAGGGGCACCCTAAACTTTGATATCAAGTTAAAGTAGGGCAGCTAACATATCGTCCTGAGGACGGCTTAAACAGGCTTGCAAACCTTGAGTTTAAGACACCTGCTCTAAACAGTACAGGGGCCTCGATCAGAGCACCCACAAGCCACCAGCATTGACTTGTCTGAGCTAAAGAACAAAACGATACTGATACTTCTCAGACTCGTAAAAATATTTCAAGTAAAAAATAAATTTTAGGTGTTTGTTACATCCCAATCTACAAAATTTAGATTATTTAGGAGGCTGGCTTTCTTCCCCGTCTCTCAGGGCCAACCCAGGCTGTGAAGGATACAATATCCCAGAAGAAAGACCAAGATACTCGATAAGAATTTTCTCCCCACTGGGGTACAAAAACTTGGGTCACCTGCCTGCAACAACAAACCGCCGAACTGCTAGACAACAGACTGTTACTATTAACTATTTTCTGTTTTCTTCACCTTGTAAGCTACTGCATTGATGGCTGATGAATGTCCTGTCATTTTCACTTTCTCCTTGGAGGTCTTCATGTCCCACACTTTCAAATTGAAGTCATTGGAACCCGTCACCTGCAGATTGTATCGCAAAAAAAAAAATGAATGTCTTGTTTTTCTTAAGTAACAGTTTTACGATGCTCGCAACTGACTATGGTACTGTTGTTTGTATACTGATGGTCACTGGGGGTGTGTGTTCTTCAACAGAATGATCAACTATGGCTCAAAATGAGTAGCTGCATTGTGGCAGGCAGCAACAGCATTTACATATATACATTTGAGGAGAAAAGTGTCCATATTAGACAGGTGTGAATGTCTCACACAGTGTCATTATAATGTAAAAAATATGCAAGGGAAGAAATGGGAAGATGCTGTTTGTACAGGCGTTGTCTTACACAGATGGCTATAAGAGCAGGTTCGACTGTATTTGCATTGAATTTGTTTCCATAGTGTGAAAATGTAAGCTCTAAATGTTTCTTTAAGGTCTCAAAAATCTTGCTTTCACAGGTAG